GAAAAATACGTATTTTACTAATTATAATTAGTAAAAAATTTAAGCGTTGCATTATTTTTGATTGCCACTGTATATGACTTTAACAGATCTTCAAATAAGTTTATTATATGCAATATCTAAACTGCAATTTTGCATAATGAAATTTAGCCAATCAAAAATAATTTACGTGATATTTCAGGCGCTGAAAATTTGGCTATTAACTATAGATGTTTAAACTTTTGAATGCGTTTCTGATCACATGACAAATATTATGACTCATATTCAAGTAAAAATTTATTTATTTGACAGTCTCTTAAAATGGCTCTTCGAACGAAAATATCATTACTTACCAATCCAAAATGCATTCTCGACCATCAAAAAACAAGAATACCAATCATTACCATTGCCACTAATAATACTACTAATCAAAAAAGCAATGTTCGTCAATTTCACACAACACAGCTCGTAAATTATCCATCAGCTGAATCAATGACGCCTAAAAAAACGACACTCTCTATTCCACGTCCCGGACTCTATACACAAAAAATAATATTAACCGATGGAGCCACATACACAATTCAAACAACTTCTCCAAAACCACTGGTGAAATTGGTTCGTGACACAAGAAATCATCCTTTATGGAATCCCGAATTGAAACATGGAATGCAAGATGAGAGTGGTCAGTTGTCAAAATTCCAGAGAAAGTTTGGCGAAGATGCACAGTATGAGTTAGAGTTTATGGAATCGGGTGAGAAAGTGCCAGAGTTATCTGCTAAAGAATTGCAGGGTATGAGCAAACCTAAAAAAGGGAAGGGTAAAGGAAAGAAAAAATGATTTATTTAACGTTTCTCTATTTCACATATGTGAATTTCGCAAAATATCATGTGATTTAATCCTCTAAAACTAGAGAATGTAAAATATTGAATACTTATTGTTTCCAAAATATTAGAAATGTTAATGCATGGCTGAACTTTGCTCTCTTTGTGAAGATAACTTTCTAGTAATTATTTTTGATATCTTATAAACAAAAATATTAGTTTTTAAAAGATCTAAATATAATCAGATTATAAAGAGATGAGATTATAGACAGGTTTTTTTTAATAATAATTGGAAAACTAAAAAGAATGATTATAAAAAATGTGATTATAAAGATATGATTATAAAGAAATCTGACTGTAATATAGTTATTAAAAAATTAAAAAAGTTAAATATTAAAATAAATAAAAAAATATTAAAGATCATATAATTCTTGTAAGAGTAATTTCTGTTTGAAGAATAAATCTAATTCATTATAATTTAATTAATTAATTATACTTGATATTTATGAATTTAAAAAATTATTATAAAATTTTTATTATATTTTAATTATATAATTAAATCTTTCTATTATAACTAAATTATTCACATTTTAGTTATTATAAAATCATATTATTATAGATTATATAATAATATACTAATAAGGCTTTTCTCATAATTTTTAAATTTTATATATGACAACTAATACAAATTATATTATAAAATACTTTTATTTATATATATTTTATAAAATACAAATTATTATAAATTACTTTTTATTTATATATATTTTATAAAATATATTAGAATTGATATAAAATATTTTTAATATTATATATTAAAAATTTTTTATTAATGAAAAATTTGGTTAAAATTCTATATTATATCAAGAATCTGAATTATTATAAAAATTTAATTATATTAATTTAATATTTAATTTTAAAATTACACTTTATAAAAAATAACAAAATAAATATTCGAAATTCATTAAATTATTTATAAAAACTGATAGATTAAACAGTAACTTCTAAATATTTATTTATTAATATATTTTTTACTAAATTATTATAATAAAAATCTCTTATATAATTATTAAAATTATGAGATTTTATTATAATCCTGATTTTTATAATTATAAAATGAGATATATATAATAACTTATTACCGTATATAACTAAAATAAGAATCCCGAAAATCGGCATTTCGAAAATAAAAATCAGGAAGTTTCATTTTTGAGACTTGATTTGATGTACCGAGGTGATCGATAAAATCTATAAGATATCCATTTCTACCCACAAAAATGTACTGGTAATATGAAGATTTTTTTTTATGTGAATATGTAGCTTCCGAGGTATGTTAATTATAGAATGTAATAAATGCATGATGCAAAAAGTCGAAAGTTTCTTATTTACAGGACTTATCATTTTAACGTAATTTCCTTCAAAAACTAAAAGTTTCTTTTTTTCGGGGTTGCCTATTTCAGTCATATACGGTATATAAATTTTGTAATAATCTTAGATTTAGAATTATTATATGAAATATAATTTATAAATATATTAAAATATTATAATACAGTTAAAATTATTATAAAAAAAAATTTTATATAAATAATATTAAAATCCGTAAATTTATAAAGCAAACTATAAATTATTAATTTACGTATTTTTTATTTGTTTTTAATTACTAAAAAAGTCACTGATAGATTTTAAAACTAGGCTTTTTTGTGTGGTGACTAAGTGAACTGCACGGTATTATTGAATTGAAGCCCCTGTTCCCGGCTTCTTTTTCTTGTCTGCTTCTTTCTTTTCTTCTTCGATTTCTTTGACAATTTTGTCTACTTCGTCAACTTTCAGATTCTGTATTTAATTGTATCATTCACTCGTTACCGCTCAAAATATATATATTTTTAAAAGCAAAATTTAACAGAAAAAAGATAGATCGTACCTCGATAATATTACCAGCACTCATAATGGTTATTTCAATATTTTTAGCACCAGTTTGTACAACCTGTATAACATTAATAAATTACATACAAATCTCGTAAAAAAAAGCATCCATTTAATATTGAGGAATCTTATTACCTCAAGCAGAGACTTGACCGTCAACTTGATTGATTCTTCTTTTGATAAATCATCCTTGTGATTTTTCTCTAAAAATTCACGCACCGTTTTTGAGCTTCGTCCTATAGCATTTGCCTGAGTGAAATAAAGATAAAAAATTCAAAATTAATTGACATATTTAAATATTATCAATTCAACCAAACTTATTAACAATATTTAATCTAATTTACCTTCCAAGCTGAATATATACCAGACGGATCAGTTTGATAAAGTTTTGGTGTTTTATCATGAGGGTCAAACCCAATTATAAGCGTAGAAATTCCAAAAGGACGAACACCACCACTTTGCGTATATTTCTAATATACAAATATCAATCGAATTGATGAAAACATTGAAATCAAAAATGACATATATAGCAAAAAGTAGATAACGAAGACAATAAATACTTGTTGAACACCAGCAATATAACGTGTAATGTATTCCACAGTGACAGGATCCTCAACAGAAAGTCGATAACTTTGACATTCTATTCGTGCTTTATTGACCAATACACGTGCATCAGCACTTAATCCTTTTTTTTTTAAAAAAAGTTAAAGTTCAGAATAACTTTATTGAATTAATCATATTTTCGTGAAATCAATCGATTGTTTTGCTGGAGCATAAATGGATCACCAACCGGCAAACGCCATGCAAATATGATCATCTAACATTACTATTTTTCGAACGGTGCGAGGATCTTGTAATTTTAGGACAGATTTCTTCTCGACACCCAGAACGACACAGTCTTGTCCACGAACGCCAACCTATTGATTTCATTATCAAAAATTTAAAATTGAATTTGCTTGTTGTATCTCGAAAATATAAGAAATATTTCTCGAATTCGATGCAAGAATTTAAAAAACAAAGTTCAATGAAGAGTTGATGTAAAAATATATGTTTCTTGCATCAATTATTTTATAAAGAGATATCTATCAACGTACAGCACACGTTCCTTTCCTTACTGCTTCCAAGGCATACTCCACTTGGAATAAATGACCATCGGGAGAAAAGACGGTTAAAGCTAAATATGCAATGTAACGCCTATAAGAGACATGGCATAATAGTTATTCTTGCATGATAAAGCACATTACTTACCGCGGTCGTAGGAGCTTGTCATTGTCGTTCGTGTCTAAGAAACGAGGAAATTTCACGAACGAATTTTATTCTTTTTTCGTGATTACGTATGCTACAAGAAGTTTCAGGTCACATGACTTAATTCCAACAGGTGATTGGATCAAAAGATCATGACAAAGATAAATAAACAAAATGATCGTTTAAATTTTCTTGTTCAAGTGAAAAAAACCTTTGTTGTTGTGTGATCAAATTGAAAGGTAATTAATTCATTACACCATATATTTTTGCTTGAGCAGTCTTTTGTGAGTGCATTACGAAACAATGAAGTATCGTTTGATTTATGTTTTTATAACCGGAATGGATTTTTGACGCGTTATCATAATATACTGTTATAAATAGCTTTGCCTAACATGAGCGAACTTTATTCGCCAGCGAGCCCTCCGTATACCTTGCCGACACCAACTTCAAACGGTTTCATTAACTCAAATAACATTTATGTGGGTTGTCAGTTGTATGTTGACATTAAAAAGGACGGACAAGGAGAACGGGAATACCATAAAGCCCAGGTTTTAACAATTCGCGAGGCTAATAGATCTTACCGAAATAATATTATTAGCAATGATGAAAACAATAATGATGATCTCCAACATGAATATTATGTTCATTATCTGGAATACAATAAAAGATTGGACGAATGGGTGACTAGAGATAAAATTGATTGGTCGAGGCCGATTGAACCACCGACCGCTGCTCCATTAGTATCCAATGGTGCTACCCCACCTCCGTGTACGATGGCGTCACCATATTTGGGATCGCCATTAAGTATCGGAAGTGTCACACCGTCACCATCACCTGTTCCTCATATGACGCGCGAACAAGAATTGGAGAAGCTTCGACATCACGGCGCGATGACAAATTCACAATCAAACATCGTCAAAGTAAAAAATATTGAAAAGATTCAAATTGGACGATACATCGTTTCTCCATGGTATTTCTCACCATATCCAGAAGAGTTCTGCGACGAGCCAATGATCTATATATGTGAATACTGTCTGTCTTACTTTGCAAAAGAGCGACAATTACGTCGACACTTGAAAAAATGTAAATTGTTACATCCACCTGGAAACGAGATTTATCGTGACTATGAACCAAATATCTCATTTTTTGAAGTCGATGGTCACCATCAAAAAACATATTGTCGAAATTTGTGCCTACTTTCAAAATTATTTCTCGATCACAAAACGCTTTATTATGATGTGGATCCGTTTCTCTTTTATGTCTTGTGCGTTCGTGACAAAAAAGGATGTCATATAGTAGGACATTTTTCCAAAGAGAAAGATAGTCAAGAAGGCCACAATCTTGCCTGCATCTTGACCTTACCGCAATATCAAAGACAAGGTTATGGTAGATTGTTAATTTCTTTCTCATATGAATTATCAAAGGTGGAAGGGAAAATCGGGACACCCGAGAAACCACTCTCTGATCTTGGACTATTGTCGTATCGTTCGTACTGGAGTGAGACGATAATTGATCTGTTGCTGGAAATGCATTCAAACAAAGAGGAAATCTCGATTCACGATATTTCAGAAACAACCAAGATAGATCCAAAAGATATTTTGCAGACGTTGCAGAGCCTTGGAGCACTTAAACCTTATCGTGCTCAACAAATTATCTTTTTGTCTGATAGCGTTTTGGCGGCGCATAAAAGAGCAAAGAAGAAGAATCTTGTTAGTATCGATGAAGCACTGTTGCATTGGACACCACCCCGTTTCACCCAGAGTCAATTGAAATACGCGTATTAAGGAAAAAAAGGACACTCATTCGAGAGAACTATAGTTTTCAATTTATATATTATATATTATATAT